TATAAATATTAAGCAACTTTTTTTTTTTTTGCCCTCCCGTTGATCGTCGATTTGCTCGAGCGGGCCCAGTAACGTCTCCATTGGAGACTTTGTTGTTACTGTGTCTGGCATATCAAATACTCTCAGTAGCTTGCCGGGCTCTCCGAGAGGGGCCGGAGGAATCGAACTCGGGTCGGCCATGTTGGCCGCTTGTAAGGCGAACGCCCTACCCGCTGTGCTATCGCTCCAGCCCATTAAGCAACTAATAACAATATATTATAACACAGCAGTCAAGGATTTTTCCTCCCAGTAAAATAAATAGTTTTACTTAGGACCTATGAGAGAGGAGAAAGAGTTACAGTAAATAAAGGAAGAGAAACTAAGAACCCTAAGTTGAGGTGTGGGTGATTCTGGAATGAGTGCCTTTGATTTTGTTCTGTTCTGTTTTTTAGTTATGGATTTTATTTATATGCTTGTTCATTTGGAGGCCCTCCCAAGCAGTGCTCAAGAGACTTTGGCTCAGTATCATCCTAATGATACTTAGCCAAGTGGGCTAGTGGTTGAATATGAAGGCCCAAGGATACTTTTCAAACTCTGAGTTGCTGGGGAGCCCCAGAGCCATACATGGCAATGCTTGGGGGCCCCCGGAACTGTTCCTGGCATGTTTGGGGGACCATGTGGTGCTGCATGCCTGGACCCTGGACTCTGTCAGCTAGAGTTTTAGAGAACAGAAGGAACCTATGTCCACCTACTGATCTTATATATAATCCTCATGCAATCTCTTCCTCTCTGGCAGTGCATGGAGGAAATGGTTGTGGGAGACCTTGCTTGTTTGCCAGGAAATTTGCACCAGGCTCAACACTGCAGCAGTTCAGACAGGTTCAGGCAGGAGTCTCAGAGAATTGGCGGGAGGGGGGAGGGATTCTGATAGCTGTATTTGAAGCAGCAGGGAGAGGCGGGGGAGGGAGGGGTGCTGCCTGAGCAGAAGGCTCAGAACTGTTGTAGAGCACACTTTCAACACACTAGCCAGTATTCAACATAAGCATCAAGAGGTCAGAGAAATCTTGAAACACTCTAAACTCTTTTGACTAATTCAGGGACTCTTGTAAGTGGGCTTTGCTCAGAGAGAAAAATTAAGATGCTTCTAGAGGAAAGAGTTCTGAGGTGGAAGGGAAACCATGTAGGCATAAGGCCCCAAGTTCAGTCCCCAGGATGTTCTGGGAGTTTTCTAGAAGCCCCTATACTCTATTGGAGTGGAATCTGAGGGGGAGCAACTGGATTTGGGGTGGGTGTGGGTGCTTGGTTTCCGACAGGGCTAGGAAGAATGCTTTTCTTGTCGTTGAAACGGGAGAGAGATGCTCCTTAGAGATGAGGTGGAAGGTGCTAGGTCCGTTTCCAAAGCGGGTCCCGTGATAGCTGGAAGTGCTGAACCTGGGGGAAGCCGGGCTGGACTCTGGCCTCTCCAGGAGAACCAGGCTCAGGTCAGTGGAGAAAGCAAGAGGGACAGTCCCAGCAAGCTAGGAAAGGATCAAGGGACTGGACCATCCTGGAAAGCTAAGAAAGGACATGAGCAAGGGCCACTGTGGACCTGCACGTGCCTGTCCCGGAAAAGGGTAATGTGTACCAGCGTCACCTGGAGACTCAGTGGGAGACAAAGACACAAGTCTGGAGAAATTCTGGAGAAAGGAAACTGATTTCTTACCATTTCTACGCTTCTAAATGGGACCCCATGGCAAGAGGCGGACGCAGGCCTCTGAGGTACAGCCTCATCCTGCTGCAGTGAAAACAGAGTTACTCTGATTGTGGGGGGTGGGTCGTAAACTCTAAACAATAATTGTGCATCTTCTATCGAAATAATCTATCTAGTCAAAGTAGATAGAGTATTAACTAGAACTCATCTGCCTCACAAGAATTGGGAGGGGTGGGAGGTGGGGGTCTATTGGGGTTCGGGGTTAAAAATAAGTATTGGTAAAGGGAAATGTGTTTGATATCTACATGACTGAGACCTAAACCCGAAAGCTCTGTAACTTTTCCCACAGTGATTCAATAAATAAATAAATTATAAAAAAAAAGAAAGAAAGGAAGGAAGGAAGGAAGGAAGGAAGGAAGGAAGGAAGGAAGAAGGGAGGGAGGGAGGGCGGGAAGATGGGAGGAAGGAGAGAGAAGAGGAAAGAAAGAGAAATAAAGAAAAAAGAAATAAACAAAGAAACAAAGAGATAAGAAAGAAGGAAAGAAAAAATAATATACAGAGAACTTGATTTCATACCTTTGCATAGGTAATCACAGTGATCCAGAGTCTACTATTTGATAAGGCAAACCATGTGTAACCTTAATAAAATGTGTATACAGAAAAAAAAAAAAAGAAAAAGAAAACAGAGTTACTCTGGGATCATTTGTTTTAAGACTGAGGCTGCCGGGTGCTGGTGCTTCCCAGAGGAGAGGAGAGAAGGAAGGTAAAAGGGGCTGAAGTAAGTCCTTAGGCCCTCCCAGCTCCTTCCAGCCTGCTCAGAGCTGGTGGAGTCAGAGAGAACGATTCTGGTGAATTTACGTGTTCTAAAATAGGGTTTCATTTCGTTTCTTTGGGGCCACACCCTGAGGTGCTCAGGACTTTCTCCCAGATCTGTGCTTCTGGTTGGTGTTGACAATGCTCTGGAGACTAAGGGGTGCCAGGAACCAAATCCTTACCTCCTGCATGCAAAGCACAAACACCAATCTTTGGGCTCCCTCCTTGGCTCTCTCAAATATTTCTGAAAGGGGGAGCGCAGATTTCAGGGTTGGGGCCTCACACTTGAACGAAGAAAGCAGCTCTTCTGTTGCAGCCAAATTCTCTTTCCTCGAAAGTCCCTCTGGAGTGAGAGAGAAGCACAGGATGTAGCTGGGAGCTTGCTGTGGTTTCCTCATAAAGAATTAGGAGGCCAGTGAATGCCCAGGTACAGCAACTAAGGGTTTCCAGAACTCCCGAGACCAGCCAGCTAGGAGCAAAGTGGACTGGCTCTGAGGGTTCACTCCCAGACAGACACTGTGAGTCCTGGCTCCCTTCTCTCCCATATGTTCCCTCCTTTCTCTCTCCCATTCTCTTCCTCTTCCCTTTCTAGCACCACCCACTCACCCTCTCTCTCTCTCCCTCTCTCTCCTTTCTTTCTCCTTCTCTCTTCTCGCCCTCCCATTTTCTCTTTTCCTTCCTTTCTCCTCCTCTCTCTCTCTTTTCTTCTTCCCTCCCTCTCTTCCCTCATTTCCCGTTTCTTTTTCTCTCTCCCTGTCTCCCTTTTGCCCCTTCCCTCCCTTCCTCTATTGCTCCACCCCCCTTTCTCCTTCCCTGTCCTGGGGAAAAGTTTTAGAAAAGTCTCCTCTCCAGTTTCCTGGTTCATAGAAGCCATCCTAGCCCTTCCCCCCCACCACCACCCCTATCCATCTAACCCCACCCCAGCCATCTGGTCCCTGCCTCCCTCCCCACCTAACTGGTTACTCTACAAAGAAAGGGAAGCCTGAGCCTTAGAAAAGCTGGAAGGGCTTTTGCCTTGCAGGCGTTGACCCGGATTCAATTCCCACCATCCCATATGGTCCCCCAAACATGGCCAGAAGTGATTTCTGAGTGCAGAGCCAGGAGTAACCCCGGAGCATTTTCGGGTGTGCCCCCCACCAAGAAAAGGGAATCCAGAAGGAGGACTGTCAAATTCTAGAGGACAGAGAAGAGGGAACCTCCCTTCTGTGCCTCCATCATCATAGGGACATCTCCCAGGAAACCATCCTAGATCCTGTGACCATATGTACAGAATGACAAGCACAGGAGTAGAAGAAAAATTCCCATATGGCAACCATTCCTACAAGCAGAATCTTACTTTTTACATTACTCCTGTGTACTCTTTGCCTGTCACAGAGTGTCACTTATGGGGGCTGTGCCACTCTAGATGCCCTTTTCCCCGTCTTGTCCTTGTAGAGGTCATGGCCCTTTCCGCCCCCTCACTGCTGCTTAGCCAGAGAGAGTATGTTGCTTGCTCACCAGACTGACTGGTATTTGTGTGAACCACATGCCTGCCACCCAGCACCATGAGCTCCAGTGAGCTCACTGGAGCACGCCTCCACATCTGCTAGGTTTCGTTCAGCCCTGGTGACCCTTAGAGTTACAGAGAAGTCATAAAAAGTTTCATGGTTTAGGCAGAGAGATAGTACTGGGGTTAAGGCACTTGCCTTGCTCACAGCTAATCCAGGTTTGATTCCTGGCACCCCTGGTGGTCTCCCAAGCCTGCTAGGAGTGATCCCTGAGCACCACCAGGTTCTACCCATCCCCCCCCAAAAAATCCCCACAAATAAAATAAGAACCTTCTAGAAATATATAGATACATGTATATTATATATGATATATATAAGTAAAAAAGGCCCTCCCGTTGATCGTCGATTTGCTCGAGCGGGCCCAGTAACGTCTCCATTGGAGACTTTGTTGTTACTATTCCATAAACCAGAGACAAAGATGGGTTAATGAAAGCCTTGATGATTAGGGTGGTAGAGGGCTCTGAGGAATGAGCGCTGCTTTGTAATTAACCATTTCGAAACTTTAATAAACTCACTCAGGACCGTTCTTCCCATTCCTTATCCTTTTCCTTTTACATTCTATTTAGGGATTGTGGCCCTGGTAGCCTTCAAGCTTCCCACACCCCCTCACCCCCACTCCAACAGCATTTTTTTCTTTTGTAAAGTACAGCAAGTTTTTATCTTCCTTAGGAAGGAAGGAAAGATAAGTCAGACCTTCAGTTCTAGAGCAGAAGGCTTTGCTGGTCTTGCAAAATATAGCAAGCCGGGGACTCCCACTTGGGTCAAAGGTTAGCTTTGGAGATGAAATGATGGTTCTATGCGCTCCCTAGTCGTCTTAATTTCATGCCATCTGAATAAATAAATAAACAGATAAATAAAATCCTCTGTCTTCTAGGAGCTGAGCTTCAAGAGCTGCAGAGAATGATCGACAGCCTGCAAAACCCCCGGGATCCGGCGGCGGTGGCCGGGGCCCTCCTCCTCCGCAGGGAGGTGCTGTTTCTGCAGTTTGATACCGCAGTGAGGTACCGCCTCCGGTAAGGCTGCGGCGCCCGGCGGGGCAGCGAACCGTTCCCTTCCGCTGGGTGAGGGGCCAGAAGGAGGCCTCTCTAGGCAAGCCGGGAGCTTAAAATAGTCGCCGCAACCTGATCGCGTCCTGCAGCCGAGAGCCTTCTCGCTGATACCGGGTGCGATTTCAGCCCTGGGATTGGGTGCTGGCCTACCAAGCACGGCTTCCTGCACGCGGGGCGTCAAGGGGAATCAAGTTACACTGGATTCCCTAAAAGATGATTCTCTGAGAGAGAGAGAGAGAGAGAGAGAGAGAGAGAGAGAGAGAGAGAGAGAGAGAGAGAGAGAGAGTGTGTGTGTGTGTGTGTGTGTGTGTACCTACCCGGCAGTGCCCTGGTATTGTTCCTGGATGTGAATTCAGAGGTCGCTACTGGCTGGGGTCAAGGGACCTTTTTTTTTTAAAACTTTTTAAATTTTTCATAAAGTTTTTCTCAGTGATTATTTACAAGACCAATCCCACCATCATTGCACCTTCCCACCACCATTACTTTGAATCCTCCTACCAGCACCCCAGCCTGCCCCTTAGGCAGATGCTAAATAGTTTCTTGAGCTTTTATAGCTGAGCCGGTGGTAGTTTGTGGGTGTGACTCCCACATACCTAACTTTCGACTATTTAGTTTCTTGGGAAACTTGGTCCCAAGTTGTTGGGGTCCGGCACAGTGGCAATTTTTGGGTATCAGGAAGCCTGAAGGCACCATCGGGCTGCTGATGCACTCGCCCAGCAGGTACAGGTTGACCTGCTGCGCAACACCTTCCAGGGGACCTTTTTGACTGGAGTCGGTTATGGGCAAGGCCAAGTCCCTAACCCCTAGGAGATGTATGTGTCTTTGAAAAGAACAGAATTTTCACAGTGCTCCTGAAGCCGATGTAATTGGTTAGCCGAGTTAAGATAGCAAATACACACACTTCTCTCTGACCTTATAGATATTAAATAGCTTATATATGAGACATGTTTATTGGGTGGGTTCTTCATAGCCGATGCGAAAATTAGTTTAAATTATCAATTACAATGATTCCAGGATAAATTCACTTTTTTATGGGAAAGGAAGAGGTTCTGACCTCTTGGTTCTGACCTCTGACTAAGGGTCTCTGCTTACCCCCAAAATGTCAATATTAGTGAACTGCCCATGATTCATTCCCAGTGCAATGAGTAAGTATGTGGGGGTTGGAGGTCATGGGCTTCTTGTGCTTACCACTTGACACCCACCTCCTCGGGGAATGGACTGTGTTGGAGGTCATGGGCTTCTTGTGCTTACCACTTGACACCCACCTCCTTGGGGAATGGACTCTAGCCTCTGACTATTCTCTGCATTTTCATTCCTCAAGCATAAGGGACTCTGAATTTATGCCAATTCAACAGGACCATAAATCTGGCTGATGTGTTTTTTTTTCTCTTGACAAACATCCTTAAATAAACTGTAGCTTAGTTAAGAAAAGATGTGAAAGGTCTAGCTAATCTTCACGAGGGCAACTCCTTGGCCTTCTGGACTCTGAAACCCAAGGTGAGAATGTTTAAGAAATTTACAAACAGAGGATGAAGAAATAGAACTCTGCTCCAGAAGTTCTCTTTTCGCACTGTATTTTGAGGTTTGCGATTTGGGGCCCACACTTTAGGCCCCTAAGCTCCTCCCCACTCACTGCTTGGGTGGAGGGGATGGCGGTTGTTTCTCTGTGCAGTGTTCAGGGTACCAAGTAGTATCAGGGATCAACGCAAGGGCTCTTTCCCAGGTCCCTGAAGTCCTTTCTCATCTTGTCGTTCTCAGGATTACGTACAAGTGAAATGTTTGTACTGCATTTGTAAATGAACGTAGAGGGAAGTACCCAGAACTGCAGAAAGGAGCATTTATGAGGGAAGTAGTCTTTGACTCATTCATACCCAACAGTTCTGACCTCCTTTCTTTTTTGGGGGGGGGGGGAGGGCACACCCAGCAGTGCTCAGGGCTTACACCTGGTTCTGTGCTCAGGAATCACTCCTGGTAAGACTCGGTGGACCACATGGGGTATTGGAGATCCCAGGTCTGCCCCTTGCCTTGCATTGTCTGTTGTACTATCCCTCTGGCCCCTCTGACCTCCCTTCTAAAAAGATCTTCAGGGTTGGTGTTTTGGGCTAGTCCACAGCAGAGCAGGAGAACCTTCATAGTTTTAACTTCATCCTTGGGCTGAGCAACATGGAGAGAAAAAAGGAACTCAGAAGAACAGGCATGAGGAAGGAGGAAAAAGAGCAGAAAGGGAAATGCTATTCTTCCTGAGCCTTTGACTCAGTGCTGAATCTGCGAACAAAGGAGGAAAAGTCCTTAGGTAATCAAAAGGGACAGGAAGCTGGGGAAAGTTACCCTACAGTCCGCCAGCTACCCAACTGGGCAAATATAACTACTCCCAGGGAACTTTCTGCTTATGTAAACTGAAGCCTTCACCACAATTTTATATTTCTTTTTTACTTTTATTTCTTGTTTTTTTTTGGCTTTTTGGATCAAACCCAGCAATGCACTGGGGTTACTTCTGACTCTGCACTCAGGAATTACTCCTGGCAGTGCTCAGGGGGCCATATGGGATGCTGGGAATCAAACCTGGGTCGGCCACATGCAAGTCAAATGCCCTTCCCCCTGTACTAATCGCTCCAGCCCCTACTTTCACGGTCACGGTCACGGTTACGGTCCTCCCATTGTTCATCGATTTGCTCGAGCGGGCCCAGTAACGTTTCCATCATGGTACTTGTTGTTACTGTGTTTGGCATATCGAGTACGTCATGAGTAGCTTGCCAGGCTCTGCCGTGCAGGCGAGATACTCTTGGTAGTTTGCCGGGCTCTCCGAGAGGGGCGGAGGAATCGAACTCGAGTCGGCCATGTTGGCTGCGTGCAAGGCAAACGCCCTACCACTGTGCTATAGCCCCCACTTTAATTTTTATTATTTTCATTTGAGAATCACACTCAGTAGGAGCTCAGGGGATAGCATCAGCACAGAGGTGACTCCTGGCAGAGCTTAGGGGGTACTATAGTGTTGAGGATCAAATCTGGACATCCTGAATACAAAAGATGTCACTTTGGGGAAGAGGCACACCCAGAAATGCTCAGCGGCTGTCCCAGGCCTGTGAAGTGTTTGGGAGGCCAGGTGTTGCTAGGGATCAAACCCAGCCCTCAACATGCAAAACATGGGTCTGGAGCCTTTGAACCATCTCTCTGGCCCAAGAACTAGAACCTGGACCAGGAGAAGCACGCTGAATGGGAGAGATAGCACAGTGAATAGGGTGCTTCCACTGATGTGGCCAACCTACATTTGAGCCCCAACTTCACACAAGGTACCAGATTACCAGAAATGATCCCTGAGCAGAGAGCCAGGAGTAAGCACTGAATACCACTGGGCGTGGCCCCTACCCCACACCATTATACACACACACACACACACACACACACACACCACACCCCCATCACACACATGCACACACCACACACACCATGCACATACCACACACCACAAACACACACACACACACACACACACACACACAGAGCAGATGCTATCCTAGACTGAGAGGCAAGGAAGGACGGAGCTCAAGTACAAATGGGACAGACACCCAGTGGTTCCCTACCCTCTAGCTCACACTTCTTGGTGACAGGCCAGTTTCAGGGGTGAGGGATGGGGAGCAGGAGTTTCACTCTACTCCTACTGACCTGTCTCCAGCCAGCTTAGGCAAGATCCTGAAGGCCCTGGGTACCAGGTCTGCTGGTGTGGAGTCACATTACCCAGGGCCCGTCAACCATGCACTTCTGGGCAGGCCTCCAACCTGCAGGAGTTACTTATTAGCCAGCTCAATAGATGCCCAGGACAAAGCTAATGTGTCTTAGAAGGTGAATTAGTCATTTGCATTGGACACAAATAGTTGGGTGGGTCTGTGGCTCTAATCAAATTTCCTATTTAGTCAGAGGTTAGCAAAACTGCAACAGTACCATGAGTGCATCTAGCAAGCTGGCCTGATGAGATCCAGTCCTGCAGAAGGCATGGGCCAGGGTTTCCTAGTGTGTGGACACTGGGCTTCATGCACCTTTTTTTCAGTATTTCAAAGGACTTTATAAAACAACAACAACACCCCATGTGTTCCCAAAGCATTGTAGGAAAATAAAAAGTCAAATTCCATCACACACACACCCTTCTTCTCTTTTTTAAAAAACTAGAATCATCAAAACTGAGTGAGATAAGGAGGGCATTTTCACCATTTTTATATATGAGGAATTGGATGTTCAGAGAAGCTGCGTAACTCTCCCAGGGTCACACAGTTGTTGCAGTGAAACTTCCATTCAGAGCTGTTGACTGTAGAGTGCTGCTTTCTTAACAGAACATCCCATTTTTAATGCAAATACTACTGTCAACAAGTCAGATGTGAACAAAACAAGATCCAATCCTCCTCCCTCCCCTCCCCTCCCCTCCCTTCCTCTTCTCTCCCCTCCCCCTCCTCTCCTCCTCACCTCCCCTCTCTTCACCTCCCCTCTGCTCTTCTTTCCTCTCCTGTCTATATTCTGTGGTACTCAGGGGCTGTTCCCAGCTCTGTGCTCCAGCACTACTGGGAGACCATGTTGTACTAAGATTTGAACCCAGGTCTCCTATTAAAGCATGTGTTCCGCTGTTGAGCTCTCTCCTGCTCTGGTCAACATATTTTCTTTGATATCCATTAGACCTGCACTCGATATTCCTGCCTTTCTTGCTAAGCCCTTCTGTTCCTTTTGGACAAGAAAATCATTATAATTTATCATGCATACTTCATTCACTCAGACTCATGGGATAAATTTTATGTACTAGTCTTCAGGAGTTTTTACTCTTGGTGGGCAAAGTCAAATGTGTTTCAAAATAGAACCAAAACCTTTCTCTTTTAAGCTCCAGACTCTTATTATTCAATTCAGCTTTAGGGACTGGAGAGATAGTACTGTGGGTAGAGCATTTGCCTTGCACATGGCCAACCCTGGCATCCCATACGGTTCCCTGAGCACCAGCAAAAGTGATTCCTGAGTGCAGAGCCAGGAGTAAACCCCTAGCACCTCTTGGTATGGCTCAAAACCCCCCAAAGTATAAAAACTAATAAACTTTTATTTCATTTGAATTTACATTCATTTGATAGAGATGAAATAAAATTGAAAATTCAAGGCCCGAGAGATAGTCCAAAGGCTAAGGTACTACTAGCCTATGCTTAGTATGTGATGTAGTCATGACCCTGGTTTGGCCCCCAGCACTCTCTATGGTCCTCTGAGTACTGCCAGTTGTGGCCCCTGGGTACAGAGCCAGATATGGGGGCCCCCTTTCCAAGAGATCAAGAATTCAAGTCTTTAGCCTCAGCAGCTACATTTCAAGTGCTCAGCAGGAGCATGATTGTGGGTTACTGCATTGAATAGTATACCCGTGACGTATTCAATATGCCAAACACAGTAACAACAAATCTCACGATGTTACTGGGCCCGCTTGAGCAAATCGATGAACAACAGGAGGACAGTACAGTGCTACAGTGCGTTGAACGGTGAACCACACAATCTTCCCACACTGTAGAACAGTCTAGCCTGTTTCTTTTCCTCGAGGCTATGAATCACAAGAACCTAAGGGCAATGATTGAAGAGAAGGGGTGAGGGAAGAGGGTGCTAAACAAAAAATCTGTTGCGACCCTAACATGTTCTCTTGCTGTAGTCACTCTGAGGAGAGTATCGAACTCGGCCTCAGAAGCAACTGCTCTTAATAGATCTCTCCCTTTCTCCTCCTGTGTGTTGGCAGGACAACCTTCTTGGCAGCCGGAAATGCTCCTGCCTGCCAGTCTGTCACAGACAGCATGTACCACGGGTTGCCTCCCCTGAGCAACTCTCTTAGGAAGAGCATTTTTGCTTCACAGTTCAGTCTGCCAGAGCCACTTGATCCACGGAGTCACCAGGTGTGTCTAGAGACATTCATTTATGTGCCTACATAAGGTATGGATAAGGGGGAGGGACGGGGGAGCAAGGGATAAATATCACTTGTTCTTTAACTTAAAATTTGCAGTGGCCCTCAGAGTTTTAAAGCCTATACTCTTGATTGGCTCCTCACCCCGACTTGGTGTAAGCATCCACGCCCCCATGGACATCAGCTCTTCCTTATCAGGTTCTCTCAACAGCTGATAGGCTGACAGGTGCTGTGGCTTTTCTGCTCATAATTGAAAGAAGCAACACTTGATCCCTTCCATTTAATAAGTCCTCAGTGATGCTCATCCAATCAATAGATTTGGTTAGCACTGAATTGTGGCTTTGATTTTCAATGCGTATCATGGAGTGCAACTGAATGGAATTCTGGCGATTCTGATTGCTCCTAGCATCAAGTAGATTATCTGCCTTCTGTAACTGAAGAGCTTGTTCATACATCCATAGGTCAGACTCACAGGGAGTCTCAGAACCCTGGGTCATACATTATATTAGTTATCTGCTGCTACAAAATTAAAAGATAAGCAACAAGCATGCACTTTTTCATATAGTTTCTGAAGACCAGGAACCTGGAAACAGCTCAGTTAGGTAGTTCTTGCTTAACCTGTGAGAATAGGTTAAGGTTAAAACTAAATATCTTTAAATTTTTTTCTTTTGTGTTCTATTGAGTCATGAATTATTTGATAGCACATTATTCTACACATGTTTGATGCTTTTCAGGTTTCTTTCTGCACTTGATATCTAGCTTCATAGCACTGTGATTGAAAAGGATGAGTAACAGAAGTATTGAGTCTCAACATATGCTCAGATCTTGAGAATGCTCAGACCATAGGCTCTTGAGAATATATATTTGCTTTTCAAAAGTGAAATTTTTGGCACGTCTATTAAGCACAAGGGTTCTAATATGTCATTTGTGGTCATTGTTTACTTAGTATTTGTTGTATAGATAATTTATCCACTGATGTAAGTGCTAAATAAAGAATCCTACTATCAAAGGGTGTTCGGAGGATCCTCCCAGGATGGGAGATGCATGCTGAAAGTAGACTATAGACTGAACATGATTGCCACTCAATGCCTCTTTTGCAAACCTCAGCAACCGAAAGGAGAGAGAGAACAAAAGGGAATGCCCTGCCACAGAGGGGGGATGGGATGGGAGGTGGGTGGGTGGGAGGGATACTGGGATCATTGGTGGTGGAGAATGGGTACTAATGGAGGGATGGGTACTCGATCATTGTATAACTGAAACCCAAGCACAAAAACTTGTAAATCCACAACTGTACTTCATGGTGTTTCACTAATAAAAATTTTTAAAAAATCCTACTATCATAGGAAAAAAGGGCAGGGAGTGTTATAGTGATAGTACAACAGGTAGTGCACTTACCTGGCAAGCAGCGGACACAAGTTCGATTCTTGGCACTGCATATGGTTCCTTGAACACCGATGCCTGAACACAGAGTCAGGAGTAAGTAAGCCCTGAGCACTTCCAGGTATTGACCAACCCCCCCCACACACACACACACATACACAAAATAAATAAATAAATAAATAAATAAATCAAATGGTAGTTCTGACATAGAATCTTTCAAAAGGCTGTGATCAAGGTACCAACCTGGGCTATGGGCAGTGCCAAGCTTTACCAGAGAATCTACTGACAAGCCCATTCATGTGACTGTGCATGCATGGGCATGAGAAGACAAGTTTCCAAGCTTCTCCTCCTCCTCAGGGTTTCTACCAACTTGGCCAACAATTCAGGAAGATCAAACAATTCAGGAAGCAGCAAGAGGAAGAAGCCAAGATGGAAGACCTACTCTTTTTTGTAATCTAATCACAAGAGTGCCAGGTCATCACATCTGCTATAGATAGTCATTAAAGTGAGTCCAGCCCACACTCATGAGGAGAAGAATTAAACTTCCTGTTTTGATGAGAAGAGTATCTGAAGAGTTTGTCAACATACCTATAAAAACTTCCTCACAAGCAAATCGGGGTCTTTTGGAGTGGGGAGGGGTGCTGGGGGCATACCCTGCAATGCATAGGGCTTACTCCTGACTCTGCAACTCAAGGATCACTCCTGGCAGGCTCAGAAGACTACTAGCTTGGCTCTGTGTTCACTGCAAGCCTGCTAGGAGTGATTCCTGAGTGCAGAGCCAAGAGACCATCATCTGGAATACTAGGAATTGAACCCAGGTCATCTATGTGCTAGGCAAAGGCCTTACCCACTGTACTATTGCTCAGGCCCCAAAACAGGATATTTTGATTTCAAAAGACAAATATAATATTTTTACATTACAAAGCTAAACCACGAAATGCCAGTACCACTTTTCTGATTGTTCCATGTCTCTACCTTCCTTAGTTCTAAGACAGTCACTTTTGACCCATGGAGACCCAGAAAACAGGGTTCAACCTATAATTACTGGGCCTGGTTTTAGGTGGATGTAAGCTCCCCTCCTGCTTCAATTCACTTCAACTTGAGGGACTATCTACAGCCAGCACAGAGCCTGGAAGAATAGACCCAGGGTCTGACGGACAGGCAATCCTATCCAAGGCTGCATGTAGCACCAGAGGAAGTAGAGGAAGCAGCAGCTTTCGAACATGATGTGGAGTAGATGTTACAACTCGCAGAGCTGTAACATTGGTTTTGAATTGTTCTGTAAAATTGGGTGTGACAAATGGCAAGACTTAAAGATTTCTCTTCAGAACACTTGAGTATGTTTACTTTTGTTGGTTATAAACATACCCCATGTGTGTTATACTTCTCTGAAACTTCTAACCCTGTGTTGAGTAGTTACACTGAAGTCTTAAGTATCCTTCATTTGTAGACACTTTCTGAAAAAAATCAATTTAAAAATAAGATTATTAGCAGGCAAGACAAGGACTGGGGAGTTTTATGAGCCTAATTCTGGCCCTGAATGCCCCACCCCACCTTCAAGCATTGTCGAGTGTAGCTCTCAGGTGACCCTCAGGTTGGGTGAGGTCATGGAGGTCCCTGGTTTTGCAGCAGCACCATTGCCTCAGGTCCTAGCATTGAGCATTATCTCTTGGTTGCCAGAGTACCATCAAGAATAGTCCTAAGCTCCCTGAGCACTGCTTGGCAGATACTCCCCCTACCCCTTAATAAGATCATCACTTTTATCCTTTAGGGCTATAAATCAAGATGAATCTCTATCCAAAAATAACACATCCAACAGTGTACAGACAACAGCAATCTTGGTTGCATGTGGGTGCAATACATATTGCATGTTTGTTGTTTGTTTCTTCTAGGCATTTATGCTGTTCCCTTGGAGAACATTTCTGGAAGATGGAGGACCATTTCCGGTGATGAGTAGCTGCCCAGATACTCTAGAATTTAATATGCAGGTAAACTAAATGTCACAGAGAAAACAGAATACAAATGGCAAAGTGTGATGTAATGGAATCCATAGTTCAAATTCTGCATACCCAAAGAGTCATTTGGAAGTAGAGTGTTTAGTTCTAAGCAATAAATTCAGTGTTGCAGATGAGTTGTATCGTCTGCCTACAACAGAGGAAATGATGGTCTCCATTAGTTTCAGCCATGGTCATAGTCACCTGATGCTCCCATAACCTGGGAGAGCTGCCCTCCCTCTCCACTCATTTTCTGAGCCAACCTGCCCAGCTGCTAGCTTCCTGGACTTTGACCCCTGACACTACAAAGTACCATGGCTGGAAGAGAATTCTTCCAGTGAGACTCAGAAGGACAATTTCTTCTAATTATGTTCCTCCCCTAATATTATTCATGCAAATTTTACATTTTCATTTTTTAATAGCGAGTATAGATAAATATTAATAATGACATGAAGATCAATGATAAATTTACTTCAAAGTAATATGGAGGTGATGTGCAGGGTATAGACTAACAGTTATTAGGGTTAGAGAGTGGAATTATCCTATTTGCTTTTATATGGGCCGCAAACTCTCCTTATGTTGTAAGGTTTCTAAAAGTAAAATAGCAAGTAAGAATGGGTTTGGGGGTTTTTTTTTGTTTGTTTTTGTTTCGTTTTTGCTTTTTGGGTCATACCCAGTGATGCACAGGGGTTACTCCTGGCTCTGCACTCAGAAATTACTCCTGACGGTGCTCGGGGGACCATATGGGATGCTGGGAATCTAACCCGGGTCGGCCGCGTGCAAGGCCAACACCCTTTCCACTGTGCTATGGCTCCAGCCCCAAGTTAGAATGGTTTTTTAAAAATCAACTAAGGGCCTGAGAGATAGCACAGAGGTTAAAGTGTTTGCCTCGTATGGAGCTAACCAAGGTTTGATCTCCAGCATCCCACATGGTTCCCTGAGCTTCACCAGGAGTGATCCTTGAGCACAGAGCCAGGAGAGTAAGTCCTGAGCACAGTCAGATGTGCTGCCACCCCACCCCCTGCTCCCAAATCAACTGGCTAGAGACAGCTCAATAGACTGAGCACATACTTTGCATTGGGAGGACCTGGGTTTGATTCCCAGCACCACATGGTTTCAGAGTAATACTGGGAGTGACCCCCAAACATAGAACTGGAGTAGCCCCCAGCACCACTGAGTTTAGCCCCAAACAAGCAAAAAAAGGCCTAATATGTTCAAGGAGGACTCGGGACCAGAAATGTTACTCTGATCTTTATGGCTGCATAATAGTTGACAGGACAGAGTTTATAAACACAATTCTTTTTTGTTTTCTCCCTTGGAATCATCAGATAAAGACTCACCCTGAATGGATGGCTTTGTTTGTTTTATAGCTATGTTTCTGTAGGTTGAGTGCCCATGACCTCAAGGTGGCTCATGGAGAACTGGTGGGGATGCAGCTGCTCATGGAAGATGTTCTGAGCAGCTGCCATCTGATCACGGAGGGCGACCAGGAACGGCAAGCCACACCAGACAAAAATACACAGGTATCCTTGGACACAGTCTCCATGGTGGGCAGTGCCAGGAAGTGGCCGTCTGGAAGCTGGCCGAGAGCCACACCTGTCCACAGCCTGTGGGGAGGAGGGGCAGGACTGCTTCTGCAATGGGGAACAGCCTCTGTAAAAGCAACTGCCAAGGATTTTCATTCGTGGTAAACCCCAACCATCCCTGGTATATCCATTTCTTTGCATTTTAAAAATAGAACAAAGGGAATGGGAAGCACATTGAAACCCAGTGAAACCAATACTCCAACCGGTTGCTTTTCCTGTGAGTCATACATTTAGGCTAGGGGAGAGGCCCCCCCCTTCGGGGAACAACTCCTGCCTAATCCCTGGGTTTCCAGCACTCCCCTCGCTGGGTGCCTAGACCAGTGCTCCTGCCTCTGAAGCTCTGAGGTCTCAAAGCCACAATCTGACCTGTGTCTGTGTGCATCTGGGAAGCAGGCAAAGTTGTCCATGCAAGGAGAATCAGCTGGTGCCACTTTGCAGAAGCAAATTTCTTAAATGCCTATGCCAGGCACCTTGGCCTTCGAATCTCTCTCCTCAGCTCACACCATTGAGCCCCCTTCATCCTGGGCACCAGGGGCCTTGCCACTGACACCCCAGAGTACTTTCCTGTCCTCTCCCAAGTGGGCCCCTGGGCAACCTTGACACTTCTCAGCCCTTCATTTTCTCTAACAGTGCAGCCATGCCTTCTCAGACATCTTTGTAGGTCCCCAACCAATTCCCCAAACGTAGTGATTTTCTTTCTAATCTAAGCTCAGGGTTGCAGTTTTTACTACCCTGACTCTGCCACTTTTGTGCCTTTGAGGCCTTTACTTCATAAAAAAAAATATTCATGGGAATTCATAGGAAAAACATTATTTTAATATGAAAGACAGATTGTTGTCTTTCAAAAATACAACCTAAAGTTTCTTCCCCCCACCCCCTCGATTTGAAAAGATCAAAGGGCTGGGAGATGTTGAGCAGGCTGAGTGCATTCTGCATGGGAGAGCCCTGAGTTCCACCCCACTCCCCCCCTACCCCAGCACTACATGATCCCTGAGCACCACTGGGAATGAGCCAGAAGCAGCCCCCAAACACCCCCAGGTGTAGCCTTCCCAAACCAAAATAAACTAATTGAATAATAATTTTTTAAAAGCACACTCTTTCTCCTAATATTCTTAGTAAAGTAAAAGCTCTGATTAAGTTTTTCTTTCACTCCAATTCATATACACACCCAGGTGAAGACTTTTATTTTTATAGCTTTGGTGCTATTTGCATGCAATGACTGGTGCAAATCTCAGTCCTAATCAGAGTCCTATGGTTCCATTGTCTTGTTCCTGTTCTCTCAGAGACAATTTACCCCCAATTGAGTTCACAGTACTTCTATTTGCTTCTCCTCCCATAATCTCTAACCTCCAGCTGCCCAGTTGCCCAAACAAAACAAAGCTGGGCACCATCTCTATCTCATCCCACACCCAGAGAGCAAAGGTTTATCGTATGTATAGCTGTCGGTGCAGATACAAGATCTGGGAAAACAGAGACTATTACGTGATCTACAACTAATTGCTCAAAGACACACACGCGATGGATAGACTGGGTCACAGGGTGATGGTCATAAGACAGTTTATTAGGGGAGAACAGTGGCTATAAAAGGGCAGAAAGGAATGCATGATGTGTGGATCACAAGAGAGAAAGAGGAAGGCGAATTCTACGGTTACCTGGGCTAGATGAAACAGAGTGACACGAGGTGTCATGGGATTTCTATGAGCTAATGCAGAGGTGAAACAATGAGTTTTACAGACACTACAGATTCTCCCTATCTCAGACCTCAGGTCACAGGCAACTGAAGGGCCATCGGGCCATGCTAAATGCAAGGGAATGCCGATTCCCCTGGCAACAACTCCCCCTATCAAGGCTGGGTCTCGGGGTCTTTCCCACACAAACCCAGTAGCCCTAGATGGACAGGGAGCTGTTCCAGGATGAACTCCAACAGTTTGCTGTCCTATTATTTTGCTGTTTCTCAAATTTGTCTACTTTTCTCCATCTCCAGTTGAGATCATCATCCAGGCTATGATACTGCCCTCCAATTGGATTGCCTGTGTTCACTTTTGACTCCTTCAGCTACTCCTTTTCACCAGCATAAGATGGCAGTTCCCTTCTACAACTCTCCTACAACTCCAAATTTTGACACTAGAGTCTGAAAATTGGAATAAGACTACTTTCATGACTTTGACTCCTGCTAATGCTTCTGCTCTTGGCTTCTTCCATCTTGTCAAATGCATCAAGCATGCTTGATCCTCTGCATATCCATGCAAGCTGATCCCGTGGGATGGGTATGGGGGATGGAAGCATGTCTTTAACTTCATCACGTGATTAACACCTATGGATTATTCAGGTTTCATCCACCAAGCCATTCTCTTCTGGAAACTTTTTCAGATATCCCACTCCCTGCCATGTAGGGTGTGTTTGCTGTAAGTAACAGGTTTATCAACAGTCATGGCTTCAAAGAGTAGAGTCATTTCATCCTTCAAAGGCTGGAAGGAAGTGGCTCAGGCTGGCATAATCACTCCACAGTGACGTTGAGGACTTAGGCTCTGCCATCTTGGGTGCATCCCCCATCCTTGGAAGATGGACACAAAAGAAAAAAAAGAGCCCATCCTGAAGAGGCTCTGTCTTTTCATCAAAGAGAAAAGTCTTTTCCAGAAGTTTTCCAATAGATTTTCCTTGTGTCTTACTGGTTCAAACAGTCAGAGGCCCATTTCAGGCCACCCAGTGAGAAAGGAGGCAAGCTAAGATGAGCTCTCCAAATCCCACAGTTACTGGCTTTACTGAGTGTGAGTATTTGCAAAACTAGGGAGCTATCAAGAGGTACCAAAAAGTACCAAGAATTACCAAGAGCAGCAAACTAAGCCCTCTTGGAACCCCTGTTGGCCAGTTGAAGGCCCTGTTTCTGGTGGGTTTCCCTGACACCCATACCTTACCCTGTCTTGCTTTTCATCCTGTCTCCTGTTTCTCCCACTATCTTTTAAAGGTAAAGGTAAAGGTAAAGGCCCTCCCATTGTTCATTGATTTGCTCGAGCGGGCCCAGTAACGTCTCCATTGGAGATTTTGTTGTTACTGTGTTTGGCATATCAAATACATCACGGGTGACTTGTCAGGCTCTGTCATGCGGGCGAGATACTCTCGGTAGCTTGCTGGGCTCTCCGAGAGGGGCAGAGGAATCGAACTCGGGTTGGCCATGTAGGTTGCGTGCAAGGCAAACGCCCTACTGCTGTGCCATTGCTCCAGCCCCTATCCCGTGACCTATCCTTTAAAATATTTAGAAAAGAAAGATTACCCTTAATATGACTATATTGATGAAGTGAGTTTGCTTTAAAATTCTTATCTAGGGTTGTTGAGAGAGCTCAATGAACTACATGTGCCTTCAGAAGGAGGCCTGAATTCAATCTCTGACACCATATGCTCCCCCAAGTACAGAAAGGAAGAACCACCAAGCACAGAACCAAGAGTTGCCCCTGAGCACCACTGGGTTTGGTCCAATCCATCTGCCACCTCCCCCTATGTTTTAAATAAAATTATTATTAATTGGGGCCAGGGACATAGCTTATTGGTCAGTTCAGGTCTTGCATGTACAGATACCCAAGTCTGACCCCCAGCACCAAATGACCTGCCCCAGCACTGCCAGATGTGGCCCTGATGACCGCCAGTATTACCAGATTCCAGCAGCTCAGTATGGCTGGGTCTGAACTTTGAACCCATCGTGCTCAGTGGGCTGAGGATTGCTGGGAAATGCCTCAGAGCTCCCTGAACAATATTTTTTTTGTTCCACTTGGGAACAAAAAAAATATTATTTTCTAATTACCTTTAGTTGATCGTGTGTTTGATTTAAATATTCATAACCACAGGGCAACCCCTGACATTTGTACTGCCTGTGGGTAAGGATGGTCTTCCTTCTGATTCCAACTGTGCCACTCATTCTCTGGACTTTTTGATCTCTATCTGTAATCCTCCAAGGACCAGAGAGACAGTATACAGGTTAAGGCACTTGCTAGCATGCCTGTGGCCACAACAATTGTTCAAATCTCAGGTACCACATAAGTCAGCCAGATGTGGCCCCTGAGCACAGAGCAGGTATAGCCCCTGTGCATAGCTCAGAGTGCGTCTCTGCCCCCCACCCCAAACAAACAAAAACCTCCAAAGTGAAGATGATGAATTTGTTCAGGGCTTTGAAAACTTCATCTCAGGAGTCCCAGAATCTCCTCAGAGGTATCTTGTATCTTTTTGAGCAGAGAAAGTTGAGTAATGGCCTGTCACTGTCACTGCCACTGTCCTCCCATTGTTCATCAATTTGCTCAAGTGGGGCCAATAACACTGTGAGACTTGCTGTTACTGTGCTTGGCATATCGAATACATCACAGGCAACTTGCCAGGCTTTGCCATGCAGGCGAGATACTCTCGGTAGCTTGCCAGGCTCTCTGAGAGGGGCGAAAGAATCAAACTCAGGTTGGCCATGTCGGCCTCATGCAAGGCAAACTCCCTACCCGCTGTGCTACCACTCCAGCTCACATGGCCTGTACTTTCTCTTTTCTCATAAAAATTTCTTCTTGTGACTATTCAGATAAGATGGTTTGGGGGGACATGTGTTTGGCATCTTGGTTTGCTAACCCCCTGAATAAACCACATCATCCATGCTCTGCCTTAGTCTGTTGGGAAATTACAGCCACAGTATAAGATTTCATCTGATGATAGGTTCCTGGGGATAAAACAAAGCTGGAAATGTGTGGATTAGTGATTACTGAGCCTGTCTAAGGCAGCCAGCTGTCTGTAGGCGCTGGCTGCCCAACCCCCTCCCTCTCCCTCATCTTGCAGGCCAATTCTTCCTCTACCCAACCCTCTTCCTGGCAGTCACGCCTCTGTAGATAGGTTAACAGCACTGATCTGATCAGGTTACACCAGGTGGCAGTTCTTCCTGTTCTCCAGCAGGAAACTGGCCAGTCTAAGGTAGTGTTACCTGGATTTCCTGTGAGGCCTTTCTTGTTTCAGCATCTCCATCCAGATCTGCGTTTGTCCCTACAGAGGAGTTTTCCCCCTAAGATTAAGGCACTGGGTCCAGGTCTCTGTGCTGTTTCTCTCTCTCTCTCTCTTTCTCTCTCTCTTTCTCTCTCTCTCTCTCTCTCTCTCTCTCTCTTTCTCTCTCGGATCCCAGTGATCACACTTGCCTGCTGCTAAAGATCAGGGACCAGAAACCCTTGTCCACATCTTTCAGGACTCAGAGTAGCTCCTCTTATTTAAGGAAGTGCCACTGAATTAAAGCTGGCAAAAGAAATGAAGAGCAGAATTTAGTTTTAGAAACCAAAAAAAAAAAAAAAAAAACCTTTCTGGTTAGGAATGATTGAAAATGTTGGGAATTCTCCCCCTCTCCACCCCCAATCTTGTCCTAGAGGATGAAAGGATAATGTCTTCACCAAAATTCTTCATAAGCAGTCATAGCAAAAGTGAGTCTCAGACACCAGTCCAGAAAGAAATTTATTGACCACGGGGTACCCATCAGCCTGTAACCGAAGCTTCTGTGCTTCTGGGTACTTTCTCTTTTTCCATAAAAATTGCTTCTTGTGACCATTCAGGCAAGATGGTTTTGGGAAACATGAGTTTGCCATATTGGTTTACTAAACCCCCGAATAAATCTCCTTTTCCTGCCTCAACTCTTGTCTCTTGAAGATTGCCCTTCAAGTGGTAAGCAGCCAACCTTGGATCCATTAAGAGAATGAATGAAGAAACTATAAAGCCTACAGCCCATTGTATAATAAGTTCAATTTCAGAGATATGTTCTCTAACTCTTCAAAGATGGGGGGCACCAGAGAAATAATACCCAGATTAAAACTCATGTCTTACATGAGGCTGACCCCAGCTCGATCCCTGGCACCACATGGTTCCCCCAAGGATCACTGGCTTTGGTTCACTGAGAATCTCTGAGAGAGCCACAAGTACCCTGAGCATAGCTTGAGGGCACCTCATTCCCCACCCCAATATGGGAGAAGGAACAGAAGGTAAGATAAACTTCTTACCTTAGCATAAAATGGGTGAAAGTCCTAACTAAAGTTTATGTTCTAGATCTAACATAACGGAGAGTTAAATCTGAGTAACATTTAACAAGGAACATTTTCCAAATAGCCCAAACCCAGAAAGACCAACTTTCAAAAGCAAATAAAATGTTAGCAATTGGGTAAAGGTGGTTTAGGGTTTTGGTTTTGGTTTTCTTCAACTTTGGTTTTGTGGACACCAGGCATTGCAGGAAGGGGGAAGGGGCTGCTCCCAGCTCAGGGCTTGGGGGTAACTCCAGACGTTGCTTGGGGAGGATGCTGCTGTGCTGGAAGTTGAACCTAGGCCTTCTGAGTGCAGGAGCTCAGCCCCGGATGCCAACTCCCCGGAGCCCAGAATTTATTTGCTCCAAACTCCTGCAGCATGTGGGGGTCAGACATTTCCCTCCATTCTGCAAGCTGTTGCAGAAGGATGAGTGCCCCGGATACTCGCTCTCCCTCTCTGCAGACCTCCAAACTCCGTTCCCTGGGGAGCAGAGTTAGTCTCTGGTGACCACATCCTGGGAAGGAGCGCACGACAGGTTCTTCCAGTTGCTTCATGATCAGTAATGGGGAATCTCCTGAATGCTTTCAGCCAGACTTGTCCCGAGGACTACGACTCAAAAGCCTGTTCCAAAGCAGCACAGAGACCCTAGGGCCTCAGGGCGGTCCCCGCAATGTAGTGATGTCTCTCGAGGTGCTGAGATCCTTTCTGGTGTTATGGAAACAACTGGAGGTGCTGAAGGAGCACTGGGGCCGACTCAAGCTGCAGTGCCAAGACATCCACACAGCCTCCATCCACGAGCAATTCTCGGAGCTCTACGGGTGAGTTGCTGGGGTGGACAATACTGCTGAGACGTAGAATGTGAGGTTTAGCAAACTGCTGCCCCTTTTTTCTACCAGCAAAATTTAATCACGATTTTGGGTAAGCCCAGCCCCAAAGTCCAGGGGAGGTGGGGGTGACCTATGTCTCCCACAGCGACACAAGGAGAAGCTGGGTTCTGCCCAGTGCTGGTACCACTACACTGGCCATCAATGACTAGTACTGCAGTGGCTCTTGGTGCTGTCATCAAGTTGTTTAGGGCATAAGATCCCAGGGAGCAGCAGGTGGGGAGAGGTGGGTGCTGCAAACCCCTCTCCACTCTGCCCAGCCAGATCCCAGTGCAGAGTTTCTGAAAACCTCACACATTATAGCCCTGAGTATGATAGGTGCAATAGGAAGACTGAAGTCTGCAGAATGAGGGTAGGAGGTAAGGGGAGTGAGAGTGGTTTGCAGCTTCAAGGCCTGGCTGGGTCAACCTAGTTGTCAGAGAAGTGGGTTGCTTCTGCCCCGTGTCTGTTTTCAAACAAGCTTTCACTCAACACCCACCTACCTGCCAGGCGCTCACTGAGTTTTTGGTTCACCTTGGCGGCACCCAGCAAATCTCTGTCCTGTGACACTATTAGGGTCTGTTTTCCAGCGAACTAAGAAATGAGGAAAGTTGTTACTATTTGGGAGAAGGAAAACAGAAGTAAATGTGCCCAATGGGGATAGCCCTTCAGAGTGAACACTGGCGAAGACAGCAGCAACTGTGGCCTGTGGTGAATAGGGATGTTTGTACACAATGACAGGAGAGAACAAAATCATTGCCAGGGAATCTGAGTGAAGGGGAATGTTCACTGTGCCTGTCTCTCTTTAATAGGACTGACATTCTCTACCCCAGCATGAAAGCTTTAGCGAGGCAGATGGGGCAAGAAGATGAATTTGAAGGACAGATAATGAGCAGCCAGACTGTTCTTCCTCCCAGAGGAGCTTCAGAAATTGAAATTAAAACCCAGCAGGTATGCATGGCTATTTTGAATTTGGAGCTGAAATTTTGCTCTGTGGCATTTGCATGTAAGCCTACAAGATGCCCAAAGGGTCATTATTTTTCCCCGTTAAAATATTGTGTGTAAATTGAAAGTTCTCAGAGGGATCTAAGAAATTGAAGTGTTGAAGTACAAAGAGCTTTGGTTAAGCAAATAACTATCCCTCTTGTCTCTATCCACTGAGTCTCAATTATCATATTGTGTTTTTCCTTAAATTAAGGGAAAGAAAAAGATAATGATAGGACACATAATTTCTAGCATCTCCACTCAAGCCTGTCATGTGGATACAGTAAACTTAAAATGACTCCATGTGACTTTTTCTGAGAATTACACAGTGAACTTTACGTCATTTATTAGCTCACCAGCAGTGTACTGGATCATCTGTGGAGAGGGAAGGTTGTAATCTCTTATTGTCCACAAGGATGTAGGACACAAGCTCACAAGGTTGTGTTCAGTGAAAAAGTCTCCCTGGGAAAAATCTCTCTTTCAATCTCTCTCTCCTCTCCTCCCCCCCTCTCTCTACCTCTCTCTCTCTCCCTTCTCTCTCTCTTTCTCTCTCTCTCTCCTCCCTCCCTCGCCCTCTCTCCCTCTCTCCCAGCCCCCTCCTCTTTCCCCCCTTCCCTCCTCTCTCTCTTTCCCCCTCTCCCCTCTCTCCCCCTCTCCTGTGAGTGGGGAGGCACATCACTGAACATCACCAGGGAATTCAGTGCCCAGCATAACCCCAGTCATAATCCTTTTCAGGAAGGCTTCATCCTCCAATGCCCAAGGAGCACCTCCATCAGGGAGAAACATGGACAGCCCAAGCATAATGGGAAAAGTACTTCAAGTTTATTGGTTCCGAGTTCTTTCTTGGTTATCTATGATATTTTAAGACCCCCCCGGGGAAATTTTCTCTTGTATCTAAACCAAATTTTACATCTCAGGGCTTCTCTGATACTGAGAGTTCACAAAATTCCTGGCCATATTTAGAAATCCCGAGATGCATGAATTCACCTCAGACATTATTCCCTTTACAGTATAGCAGAACTTAGGCCAAGAGATTGTTATTTTATTAATCAGAGTGGGCCAGGAAGAAAAGTTGTTGTACCCCTAGAAACATTTGGGAGATCCTTCACCCTCCCCCAGATGGTATAACTGAAGGACAGGACCTGTACCTCCATCCGTATGCAGGAAATTGAATTTGGAGCATAAGCTGAATGTGGAGAATGACTCTCAAATTGTCATTTTTCTAGCTTCAGAAACTTCTGGAAAATCTTGAAATTCTTATGATTCAGGAAGTATTGAGAAAAGTTAACAGAGAAATAATTCTGGTTGTCTCAGAAAAGTCCAGGGAGGAAGGTACTCTCTTCACAGGTAATGTATAATTATTTCATTACATCACAAATAACATTTAACTGGAACTTTTCTTTCTAATTCTAAAAGAAATCCATATATCCAGACTCATGGATTCCAGTCCAGAGATATTTCAGGGCCCAGAAAACAATATCAAAATTACCTTTTGTACCTGTGTCCAGAGAAGTGTCCGATTAACATTTAAGTATATTTCCTTCCTCAGAAAGGGCTTTCAAATAGAAAACATGCTAACTTCAGCTTCACTCTGCTAATTAACAAATAACTGGAATAAAGTTGAATTAGGGGAGACATAGGAAATCTTCCCTATTTGTATTATATAAATATGCAAAAATATTGCCTATTATATCTGACATAGGCCAAAATCTTATACACTCTATATGGGAAGGCGATGAAAAAATTGTTTCTCTGGAAAGCTCCATGGACATGTGACCGAGCATCAACATGACCTAGAGGAGCAGACACATGGGCTTAACACTCTGCGGGGGCCATCTTGAAACTCCTCATTTAGACTTAGGATTTGTGAGTGAGTGGAGACAAGCGAACCAAGGGAGAAGGGTCTTGGGTCCTGCACAATTCCACCTCCTGCTGCCACCACACCTTGCCTCAGTTACTTTCTCCCCTGCTTTCTGGTACCCAACAGCCCAACTTCTTCCTCGCCATTCCCAGCCAGTCAACACTGCCATCCTATGCTGCGGAAGGAGCCTAGAGGGCCACATATATACCCTGTGTGTCTGGAGACGCCAGACTGGTAACAGCATGGTGACTAACTGAGGGCAACTCTGTCACCTTTCTCTGAGACCTGGACTATCACAGGTCACAGTATTCTTCTGGTTGCCCCTCCACAGAGGTTGGGGTTCTAGAACTGTGGGAAAGGGAGAATACCTGGCTCAACTTTTTTTTTTAATTTTATTAGTGAATCACCGTGAGGTACAGTTACAAATTTACATACTTTCATGCTTGTGTTTCAGTCATACAATGGTCGAATACCCATCCCTCCACCAGTGCCCGTTTTCCACCACCAATGGTCCCCATATCCCTCCCACCACCCCCATCCCATCCCCTCCACCCCACCCTGCCTCTGTGGCAGGGCATTCCCTTTTGCTCTCTCTCTCTCCTTTTGGGTGTTGTAGTTTGCAGTAGAGATATTAAGTGGCCATCATGTTCGGTCTATAGTCTATTTTCAGCATGCATCTCCCATCCTGAGCGGGCCCTCCTAGCACCCTTTACTTGGTGGCCCCTTCTCTATCTGAGCTGCCTTTTCCCCGTTGGCTCAACTTTTTGCCCATAACTAGTGCACAACTTGGTGTCAGTCTTTTAGCTTGTAGGACCCATGCACACAAGCATCACAGGGTGAGGTCTCCAAATATCCACAATGTTCAGACTCATTCTATGAGCATCTTGTACTCCAGAAGTGCAGCATTAAAAACACCATGCCAAAACACAATGCCTGAAAGGGGAGAGACAGACAGACAGAGAGAGACAGAGAGACAAAGGGAGAGCAAGAGAGTGTATGTATGTGTGTGTGTGTGTGTGTGTGAGAGAGAGAGAGAGAGAGAGAGAGAAAGAGAGAGAGAGAGAGAGAGAGAGAGAGAGAGAGAGAGAGAGAGAAAGCTCCTGCCTGCCCAAGAGGCAGGCTGGGGATGGGGGGGGGGGAGTGATGAGAGGGAAACTGAGGACACTGATGCTGGGATATGTACACTGGTGTAGATATGGGTGTTGGAATACTGTATGACAGAAATCTAATCATAAATGCTTTGTAAAGGTCTATCTCATAGTGATTCAACAAAAAAAGAAACTCGAATAAAATAAATAAATATACCATGCCAGCCCAAAAGAGATCCTACAGAAGAAAAACGACTTATTTTTTGGACCACTTGCAGCAGTACTTTTTTCCTGCTTGTTTTTTGTTTTGTTGTTGTTGTTTTGGGGGGAGTCTACACTCAGCAGTGCTCCAAGCTGACTCTTGGATCTTTGCTCAAGGATCACTCCTGGCAGTACTCAAGGGACCATATGGTGTGTTGGGGAGTGAACCCAGTTTTGCCAGGTGCAAGGCAAGCAAGAGCCTTACCTACGCTACTGTCTCTCCTGCATTATTCTCACCATGGAGGCCTGAAGACTGTGTATTCAGCTGGCTCCATTTGAACTATGGTTCTGCTCCTCACTCTGAGTAACTCCATGTGAGAATCCACAACTTTTGAGCTACAGACAAGTTGTCTGACTAACAAAATCAATTACTTTTCCCTTTTGCATCGGGGCTTGGGTTGGGAGGGAGGGTTGATGCAGAGGCATTGTAATGTTAGCATGTGATCTTGGTACTCACCTCAGACATTGACCCTGAAGGCTGTATCCTTGGTAAGGACATGCAGAGCAGACCTTGGGGAGAAGGCTATGCAAGCCATGGCACCCCGTGTCACCAAAGCGTGGAGGGTGGTTAAGCTCCAGTTACACAACATTTCAGGAGACAAAGAGCCTGTTGTTCATGCTGTGTTTATTGCCTCCTGGCAGCCGCTTTCCAGTTCTTGGAGCAAATCCACCAGCACACAACAGGTGCAACCATACGCTGTTTGTTGGGGCTGTGATTTTCATGGCCCCCATGCTGGGGTCAGGGATGGTTGGTGCTGTGAACTGCCCTGTTTGTAAGCTTAACTGAAGGCCATCAGTCCAGGGGCTGCTAGGGACACCGAGGAAGAAGGATTACTCTTAAGATAATTAAGCTGACATTATCAAAACTTGGCTAGAAGACACTGGAGTACAAATTTCTGTTCAGATCTTTTTTTTTCAAGATTTTTTTACTAAATCCTAATAATAAGGATGCACTGTGGTTTGGCTTTGGTTTCTTTCCTTTTCTGGGGGCGGGGAGATGGGGAGTAGCGATGAGGGGGGAATGTATTTTTAGAGCCACACTCAGTGGTGCTGTGGGTTCTCCTACTCTGTGCACAGGAGTTACCCATGGTGGTGCTGGGAGGATCACGCAGTTCCAGAGATTGAACCCAAGTCTCACCCATGCAATACCTGCACTCCGAATTTTACCTCTGCCCAAGTTTCAGTTCTTCTGGTTGCCTTGGCGCCAAGGCTAGATCTCCTCCTAGACTAGGGTCCCCCAGTGCAATCAATGGAGTCCCCCCTGTGTGCCAGAGGGGTCTTTCTGTGTCATTCTTCAATTTTATCTCTCAGAGGTCAGGATGGTACAGCAGATAAGGCAATTGCCTTCCATGTGGCCAACCCATGTTTGAACTTTGACACCATATATTGTTTCCTGAGCCCTACCAGGGATGATTCCTGAGCACCATCAGGTGTGCCCCTACAAAAACAATTTTTTTAGGCTCCCAGAGACCTCTGTGAGCCTGGGTACCCTGAAAAAGGATTGAATTTGGAATCAATCCCACCCACCTTATCTCAGCAAACAAACCTACTGCTGTTTTCCTTGCCAAGATCACCCTTTGCAGTCAAGGCAAGGTTGGCTGGGAGTTTGGGGGTCTCTCCACAGAGTATAGAGAACTGGGGGACAACACAGGCTCTTGAGGTCTCTTTTTGATGTTGAACAACTCCCAGAGTCCCCATTCATACCTGCCAGGAAGGAACCCTGGATAGTCCACCCCCTCAACTTCTTCCCCACCCTCACTCCCCACCCCCAATGTCTGGCGCTTATTCTTTTTTCACAACTTCTGAGTTTCCAGTTTGTCGAGCAACATCTGCAAAAACATGGTGGCCACACCCAGCCCCAATGCTAGTTCTGGAGAATCCTGAATCTTTCCAGAAGTGGATCCAGATATACCCCCATTCACCCCAGGACTTCCCTAGAGAAGATTGAGTTCTTGCCCATCTCTGATGTTATGGCATTGAGTGATTTCTTGATTGTTTTATGATCACACTCAATGATACTCAGGGGTTATTCCCTGCTCTGTGCTCTGGGTTATTCCTGGCAGTGCTCAGGGGACCATGCAGTGCAGGGTATCAAATCTGGGCTTCCCCCATGCAAAGCATACACTCAACCTCTTGAGCTATCTCTCTGATGATTTTGGATTTGATTTATTAATTATCTGGTTAGGTCTAAGGTTAGCAGTCTCAAGACTGGAAAGCTTATAGCTCAGGGGTCTGGAGGGAAAATACTGGATTTTCTTTCTTGATTAAGACTATATGAGGTTGTGAGTCTCTCTCCATACAGGGGTACTCTGCAGTGACATGAGAGACAATAGGGAATAACAGCAAAGCACCAGGGTGACTAACATACCAACTTCCAGCCACCTTCCATAGTTATACCGGAAGTCCTATCAGGACTTGTGTAGCACCCCATTCCTGGGCCTTCCCATAGAACCAACTGCCAGGTGAGTGTATAATCATCAGAAGGGGGTTCCTGGGCCTCCCAGGCACAGAATGGGAGATCCCCAATTATCTGCCACTCACCCTCTCCCCTTTAAAAATGGACCTAGTCACATCTAATAAGAAACTACACAAAAACATTTTTAAAAGCCAAAGAAACTGGTGGGTCTATAAACAGACATCCTTTCTTAGTGCTGATAAACCTCACCCTTGAATCATCCTACTTTGCAGTAGTAATTAGTGGTGGCACTGGACTTAGTTAATAAATGCGTGAGCTTGTGTTTGTTAAAGGTCAGTAAATAGAACATGTTTCCTGGAGGGAAACACACTCAGAACACTTAGGAAAGTCTCGTTCTGGGAAGCACAGCTGTGGCAGTGCACCCTAGAACACAGGTTCTTCACGATGCGCACGTGGTCCTTCTTCCCCATCCCCTTTTTCCATCTCTTTTCCATGGATGACTCAACACTCATTGTCGGACTCTTCTGCTCTCTGGAAAACACAAACCTCATGAGGCACCAACTTCAGGCTGCAAATATTTACCCAGTAATGTGGATCATTGTTTGCCCCAAACCTGTTTTTGCCTATTTCACCTGTCGTTGTGCTTGGGTCACTTACTTAGGTGTTCTGTAAACCAATGAAATAAGAGTATATATATAGAAAGAGAGCTGTTCTATAAAAA